CCCTCAGGGAAAAGGGCGGCCTATAAGTGTTAATAAATACTCTAAATACTCTAGCCCTAAAGTGGCTTCCTTTGTTTCTTTATAGTCTTATAAAACTCTCATTCCCAATGGACAGGAATGTTTTCACAATTTATCTATGCTAATTGTAGTCCTTTTGAAATTATTTTATTCAGTATAATGGTTCTGCTGTGTTTCGAGCTGTGTTTTTCAACTTTTAAGATGTCTGGACATCAAGTCCCAGAATTCCCAGGCCAGCGTGCTGAACTCCATATATCTTAAAGTTAGTAAGCTTAAGCACTTAGAAAACAACAAATTAGAAGGACCTTCTATGGCTATTGGTAGAAAAGCAATTGAAAAACAGATAAAACAACTGAGATTTGTTTATTTATTTGTATCACCACCTTCATTATTTTTCCAAATAACTCATAACCACTATCTAAGGGTATTGGGCAAAGACTGATATATTTTTTTTCTTATCAGCGGCTTACACAACTCCATTGCCAATAGCTGACCTCACAAGTAAGTTTATACTCTCAATCTATAATTTTTTCCAAGAAGTTTAAAAATTATTGTTTGCAAATAATAAAGTAAACGAAACTAAATAATCAACTAAATAATAATAGAAGGACTATGGCAAAAGAAAGCAAACGTAGAAAGCAACAGGGGTGGATTCCTACCAGTTTGGACCAGTTTGACTGAATTGGTAGTGGTTTGACAGCCTGGGTCAACCGGCAGTGACCCAGGCCTGCCACGCCACCGAACTGGTTCTCCGGGTGCCGCTGTATGCGTGGCCATCTTGTTTTTTGCTTCTGCGCATGCACAGAGCAATTTTTATTGCACTGTGCATGCGCACACAGCGTGCATCAAGTACATGTGTGCGTGCCGCCCGGTCATGAGAAAACCAGCAGTAGTGACTGCCGGAACCCACCCCTTGTAACCAGTAGTAGTAGATCGCTTGGATGCAATCCCAAACCAACTGGAGCAAATTCATCATCAGTCAACTACAAAAGACACCTTAACTTGGAACAGCGTATATCCTGCAACAATATCTGGAACACAATCGAACATCCACATCTGCCTATGCCAAGTCCTTGGAAAGGATTCAAAAGCTAGACAAAAATGCCAAATTCAGGCTGACTGTGTGATGAATCATAAATTGTCAGGTTTACTTTTTGCTCAGTAATGAAAAACAATGTATACAATTCAAGAAGGTTAAAATAGAACAGGGTCTCAATAGCAATAGCAGTTAGACTTATATACTGCTTCATAGGGCTTTCAGCCCTCTCTAAGCGGTTTACAGAGTCAGCATATCGCCCCCAACAACAATTTTACCCACCTCGGAAAGATG